CTCCCGATGCCTACATCCGCCGCGGTTCTCTGGCGCACAGCCCACAGGCCCGACGAGAGACATTCAGGCGCCCGCGCGACCCGGCAGTCGAGCGCCTGACTAGGAGCAGGGCTTCGTCGACCACTTCGCGCTCCGTCTCCCCTCCCAACTCTGTCGACGCATTCGCCGGCCCTAGGCGCCGCGACCGTGCCAACACCCTCCAGAGCCATGCTGGTTCCGAGCTCGAGCTGGGATTGAACAGGACGCTTTCTCGCGGCACTGCGCGCCGTCCGACAATCAGCGACGAGCGTCCTGATGAGCTGCACAACGTTGAAGTTGCATCTGCGCACAGCTCTGCCGAGGAGGATGTGTGCTTCCCTGTGGCCGAGGATACTGGCAAGACTACTAGGTTCGACTACGAAGAGTTGGAGGAGTTTGTCGCAGAGGCTCAAGAGAAGACGCCCATCGGCCAGCCTCTGCGACACAAGGCGAGTACCGCTTCCAACCTTTCCACAAAGCCCAAGGTCTTCTCCGATCTCCGCCCCAAGTCCAGCCAGTCAGGAACACCCAAGACAGACAGCGACGCTTTGAGCCTTAAGAATGCGGACCCTGCGATCCAAGAGAAGCTCGCCGAGGAAGGTCTGTCGCACGTATTCGCGGAGAAGCCGGCGCCAGAAGTGAAGCTCAACCGCTGGACCTTCTTCTCGTCTGAGTTGGACGACACGATCCATGCTGCCGAACTGGGCGGTCTGCTTATGCCCGGCGAACGCTTCCGCGATCTGTTTGACACCCCATCAGACGGCGGCGTCTGGTGGCTCGACATGGTCAACCCTACAGAAGAGGAAGTCTTCGCCATCTCCAAGGCTTTCGGCGTGCACCCTCTCACCCGTGAGGATATCTGCGTCCAAGAGCCGCGCGAAAAGGTGGAGCTCTTCCATCAATACTACTTCGTCTCTTTCCGTTCCTTCTTCCAAGCTGACAAGGAATCGGAGGAATACTTGGAGCCTGTCAACTTCTATGCTGTCGTATTCAAGGAGGGCATCCTAACTTTCACTTTCTGCGAGAGCCCACACACGTTTTCTGTGCGCAAGCGCATCAGCCGTCTTCGCGATTACATCAACCTCAACGCTGACTGGATCTGCTACGCCCTCATCGACGACATTGTCGACAGCTTTGCACCTGTCATTCGGGGCATCGAAGATGAGGCAGATGCGATTGAGGATCAGGTCTTCACTGCGCGCATTGAAGATTCTCGCGCCATTCTTCGATCGATCGGCGACTGCCGCAAGCGCGTCATGCAGCTTCTGCGTCTCTTGGGCGGCAAGGCAGATGTCATCAAAGGCTTCGCCAAGCGTTGCAATGAGTCGTACAGCGTTGCTCCTCGGGGTGACGTGGGCATGTACCTCAGTGATATCCAGGATCACGTCGTCACTATGATGTCCAACTTGGCTCATTTCGAGAAGATGCTCAGCCGCGCACACTCCAACTACCTTGCGCAAATCTCGGTTGATCAAGTCATTCAAGGCAACGACAGCAACGCTACGCTTCAGAAGGTTACGGTCATCGCTACGATTCTCGTTCCGCTCAACTTGATTTGTGGTCTGTTTGGTATGAACGTCAAGGTTCCTGGTCAGGATGGCAGCCTCGGATGGTTCTTTGGCATTATTGGTGTTATTGTCCTTTTCGTTGCTGTCTGCTTGGGGGTTGCTAAGAGGATGCGTTACATTTGATTGAATTTGTCGGTTGGTAATTCCCTGTTTTGTCAGTTGGACACTTTCTGTCTTTGATTCTCCTATGTTCAGTATCGTGGTTTTTCATTCAGTACATGTATTAACGCCAGCGCTGGTGTACCGGAGGTTGTCATAATTCGGGGTCACGTCATACACGATCATGTCGGCATTAGATATACTCTAGATTAGAAAAGTATTGTTCTCGTCGCAAAGCTCTTTGCTGCCAGCACATCGCCTGAGTATGGAATTGGATACATATGTGATGATCACACAGATCGACAACTACGTGTGGCTTTCGGTAGAAGGTAGTAAGAAGCAAACCACACAAGCCGAAAAAGAAGGCGCGCATACCCTGTACAATGAGCCATGAAGCTAGGGATTGGCGTACGCGAATAGACAAAGCAAAAGAATGCTTTACAGTATTGTTTCAGGTGCCGATAGTGCCCATGATGACATCACATGAAACGGCATGCATTGGTAGCGCGTGTTTATACTACCTTGTTCATACACTCACATGACATCCAAAGACGCGATGATAGATGGAAGCGTAGATAAGCCGCAACTCTGTGCTATCACGCGAGCAGACAACCTTGGGACGCGTCCAAGGTGACATTCCGTACCGTTCCTATTCGTTCCGAGGTCGGAAGGAACACTGCCAAACCCAGAATGCGCGGCATACAAGGCGCCGAACAGCAACTGTGCCGATGATGAAAGAAACGTGGTGACGGTGAGCCCCTGCAGTCATGAGGACCAAGTAAGGAAGGTTCCACTCGTTGTCCGCGAGTTCGGAAGCGGTGACTTAGGCTCCTGCCGAGGGGCGGACTAAGTGATCCTTGTTTCGGCGAGAGCATTCGATCATGCAGCGCCTCAGCCGACCGACTCCCTTAAGTACAAACTCTCGCCCTTCCGCCGCTCTCTCACTCCTTGCACAAACCACCAGGACGTTCTCTCTACCCACACTCTCACTTTTACACGTAGACAACACCCAACCGACCGCCCGGCGAATACAGTACTGTTCCTGCACCCCCACGAACACTACACGCCTCAGCAAGGACCCCGGACCGAGAAGGCAACATGGCGGAAATGGCGCAGCGGATACTCATGAATGAGTTCAAGCAGCTCAGCAAGGAGAAGTGGACAAACATCGAGGTGCGTCTTGGTGACATTCCCTCCGGAGTCACAGTCCTAGTGGCGGTGCAGGAGCACCGAGCTAACCACGTCACAGCTCATCAACGAGAACGTCTTTGAGTGGAGTGTCGCCCTGATAGTCATGAACGAAGAGTCCATGTACTACGGCGGCTACTTCAAGGCCAAGATGACCTTCCCTCGCAACTACCCGCATAGCCCGCCAGGTACGTCACTGCCAATACGCGGTTCCAGGGATGGAAGGAGTCGCGAAGCGCAGGGCAAGAGCTAACGGTTTACCAGATTTCAAGTTCATCCGCCCGCTTTACCACCCCAACATTTACCCCGACGGCCGCCTATGTATCTCCATCCTCCACCCACCCGGCGATGACGAGATGTCCGGCGAGACTGCCGCCGAGCGCTGGTCACCCGTGCAGCGCGTGGAGACAGTCCTAATATCCATCCTCTCTCTGCTGGACGATGCCGAGGTTTCCTCACCCGCTAACGTCGATGCGGGAGTCATGCTGCGCAACAAGCCCGAGCAGTACAAAGAGATGGTCAAGAAGGATCTCGAGCTGTCAAAGGCGGACATCCCCACGGACTTTGTCATGCCAACACACGAGACGGCATGGAAGAAAGAGAAGGACGAGGGCGAGTTTGACATGAGCTGGGAAGACAGCGATGCTGAGAGCCTGGACTTTGGTGGCAGCGAGAGCGACCCTGACGAGGATCAAGAAATGGATTCCGACTTCGAGGGCGATGACGATGATGCGGAAGACGACGAGGATGCCGACACCCCCATGAAGCGCTAGACGTTGCCCATGGACTGCTACTCTGAGCCCCTCATCATGCGAATGTCTCATATCCGCATGCCAGGGCTACTTAGGGGTGGGTCCCCAGCGTCTGAAGAGGATTCGGGTTCTGACACCCTCATCCTTGTCCCTTCACCGGCAGTATCACCTACCTCAACACTCCTCTCTTCGTCATCATGCGATTCGGCAGCCCCTACCCCATTTCCCCCTCACCCCCGTCCAACGATATGGTGGACACTCGCGCACTAGGAACTGCGCATTGCCCTCTCACCCCCTTGCCCAACTTTCCATTCCTCGGTTTTCTTCCACGTCTTCATCATAAGCGCGGCGTTCGGTTTCGGCATGGTATTCATGGCGTTACGCCTGCAACGGGCTTTCACGCCTAGGGTTCGGTCACGGTTAGGACGGCATCTACACTGCATAGGAACGGAGTTCTTGAATCATCTTTTCATCATGCGTGGCATGGCTACTTTGGGCTTGCAATTGGCGGCGCAGTGGCTGCATGTGAATGGCCGTAGACTAGGGAATGCATGAATTACACATCTAACCCTCATCATGATATCCCTCCTTGAATTCTCACTGTCTCAAAATGCCCTGTCGACCGTTCTCTGTACCGTGACACTTGCTGGCACATTTCCTACTCGACCCGACCACGTCTTCTGCTACTTCTATTCCGCCCAGCTAGGCTTTATGGTCTTGATGACGGGCGGGATGGAGTCACGCCACTCGTTATCCTTCAAATCCTGAGAATTCGCATCCGGACTCATTCCCATACAACCATCTTTACTGCATCGGTGGTTCCAGTGGCGAACAGCCTCATAACAAACACATTGCCAAGTTTTTTCTCTGGGCCAACCGCAAAATTTCCCGTCGCATATGTCTTGGTCTTTGGAAATTTTCTTGCCGCAAAAAGTCTGGTCGCCGGGGCATATGTATTCAATTCCAGATGCCATCCACTTGCAGGCTTTGTATTCGCTTGTAGATGTGGACGCGTCGCTTTCAGTTTGAGGCATGTTTCTTTCGTACGACGGCTGTGGTGATATTGGATATTTGACACGTGTAGTTCGACGCAGCGTTGAATCGATGGTTTCTCTGGAGATGGAGGGGGGGTTATCCTGGGAGAGTTTGCAATGTGGTTTGTCTTGTACGAGAGTTGAGTGTGAAATATGGCTTATTGCAGAGTGCAGGAATCATTCTCTGTGCGCGCAGCGAATAAATAGTGCCTATGAGTCGTGCAATTATGAGTCTCCAAAAGCAGAGAAGGATGAGTCTGGATACTCTGTCAGGCGGCATGGCTTCGACAGCGTTCAGCTTGTGACTATATCGACTCATCATAGCTATGTTTGTCCAAAAGCTACCATGCTATGCCCATAGCATTTCTGACTCTCTCCATAGTGCTCTCGGCGATCTTTTCTGCTCGTTGTGCACCTTCTTCTGCATGCTCTATGAGCTCCTTCTGATTTCCGCTCATCAATTCTTGATAACATTCTCTTGTATCCTTGATGCCCGAATCCACGGTATCGGCGACCTTCTCTTTCAGAGCCCGCATGCTTAAAGTCTTCAAGTCATTCGCTAGATCTTCCGGCGACGCAGCGAGCGACTCATCGAAATGATACATTAGGTCCACAAGATTTGTCACGCCCGGTCTGGTTTCGCGGTCATAACTCACTCCCTCGATGGAGTCTGTCAATGCCGTCTTCAGCTTGCCGTGTATTTCCTCTCTTGAGTCTGTTATCAAGATGCGACTCTTCGGTTTCGGGTCGCTCTTGCTCATCTTTTTTGTTGGCTCAGTCAGACTCATAACTCGTTTCGCGGGACTCAGAAGTGTTTGTGGAACAGTCAACAGGGGCTGTGACTCTGAGTAGACGTGGTTAAAGCCACTGGCCAGCTCGCGCGTGAACTCGAGATGCTGCGCTTGGTCTTCACCAACTGGAACGTGGGTGGTGTTGTAGAGGAGGATGTCGGCGGCTTGTAGGACCGGGTACGAGAAGAGGCCGAGTCTGAGGGCGTCTTTGTTGTTGGAGGGATCGAGAGGGGATGCATTGGATGGTAAGGAGAGCTTGCTCTAAGACAATGTTAACATAGTGCCTTCCTAGGTCTACTTCAGCGGTGGTGTACCTTCCACTGGGTCATTCGTCCCAAATAGCCCATGCTTGCACCACAACTCAGGATCCACATCAACTCTGCATGCTGCTTCACGCTGCTTTGCGCAAAGATGATGCATCTCTTTGGATCAAGTCCTACTGCCAGTAGACTAGCCAGCATCTCTTTCCGCCATCTTGCCAATTCGCTCGGATCTTGTTTTATCGTAATCGCGTGCAAATCGACTATTGAGAAAAGAAGCGTTGTATCCAGAGATGCCTCATCTTGCAGCTTGACCCATTGCCGCAGTGCACCGAGATAGTTTCCAAGATGCGGTACGCCGGTGGGCTGGATCCCCGAGAATATCACCTGCTTCTGGTTCTTGCCGGCATTCTGTCTCGCTGGCGAGGCGATGGAGTACTTGCGCAGGCAGCCTGAGCATACACGAAAAGGTGAGGGGGCTGCACGCTGCAGCGGTCGAAGTGAAAACATTGAAGTCAGGTCGTTGTATCAAAATCGGAATCGCGGTTGCTCAGCCACCAGAAAGCGCGGCCGGGGTCTTGTAGCGTCGTCATTGTGGCACTGCCGCCCGCCAACAACCACTCGACTGCGCCCAACCACGGCCTCCTTCTCCATTCACGCTACTCTCCCCGCAACACCACGACTACCACCCACGATCCCAGACCTCACTCACCTCACTATACATACCGTCGCCCGGAAGTAGAGGGACTACAGCGCAATCATGTCTTGGACCGGTAAGGAGCCCCTCGACGATCATCCAGGAAGCCGCCGGCTCACCAGACGCAGGGTTCAAGAAAGGCGTCAATCGCGCGACGACGCAGGTTCTTATGAAGACTGGCCAAGTCGAGCGCACAAATGACCGCGACTTCGAGACTGAGCAGCGGTACGCTCTCCAGCACACCAGATGCATACTTCATACAAGAATAAGGCATCCCACCGTAATACCACGACTAACATGACGCCAGCCGGTACCGTACTATGGAGACCGCCGCGAACAAGCTGCAAAAGGAAGCAAAAGGCTACCTCGACTCTCTGCGCGCCATGACCGCCTCACAAATGCGCATCGCCGAAACCATCGACGCCTTCTACGGCGACGCGGGCACCAAAGACGGCGTATCGCGCTCCTACAAGCAAGCCGTTACCGACCTAGACGCCGAGACGATAAAAGCCCTCGACGGCCCCTACCGAACAACCGTCCTAGACCCCATCCAGCGATTCTGCTCTTACTTCCCCGACATCAACGCCTGCATCACAAAGCGCGAACACAAGCAGATGGACTACGACCGCATGCGCGCGCAAGTCCGGAAGCTCACCGACAAGCCCGACAAGGATGTTACCAAGCTACCGCGTGCTGAGAAGGACGAACAACTCGCCAAGGCCGCGTACGATCAACTCAACGACACCCTCACAACTGAGCTGCCCCAGCTCATCGACCTGCGAGTACCATACCTAGACCCCAGTTTCGAGGCGCTGGTCAAGATTCAGTTGAGGTTCTGTGCGGAAGCCTACTCAAGAATGGCGCAAGTGCAGCAGTATCTGGATGCGAACACAAGAGATCAGTATGCACAGGGCGAGCTGGATGCGCGGGTGGAAGAGGTGTTGCAAGAGATTCGGGACTTGAGTATTGCGGGTACTGTCTAAGAGCTGGAAAGGAGAACATGTTCTTTCTTTATCGTACACGGTAATTTCTGTGGCGTCAGACTCGTTGGTTTTGCGGCATTAGTTGGGTTGCGTAAGGATGAACGAAGGATTTCAATGGAGTCCTTACCTTGATCCATAACACTTGGTTTGACCATTATGCCGTGAGCGTCATCAGTGTTGAATTGCCAATCTGCGTGACCTACAGAGAGAGTCGGTGGATCTCTACCTGCTCACTCACGAATATGACAAGGTCAGCGGGTCTGCCAAGGGTCTTCTTTCGATGCGTCAGAAGAGGATATGAGTCAAGAGAATTTGGCCAGAGTCAACACATCTTGGTGTAACGAGCACATACCAAGCGTGGCGATGGTCAGTATTTGAATCGAAATTCTGTTTCTTTAACCTCTACTTCCTACCGATACTGTTTCTGTACTCATAAATCTTCACAGCAGTGCCCATCAAAACTCAACGCCTATATCTCGTCGGAACACCAACGTTTTTACAAATCTCCACAATACCCATCAACACTGCACGCCTAGATGGCTACTCCGACCGATAACCAGCCAGTCTACGGACACGTCATGGAGGATCAAGAGCGTTATAGCTGTCCATTTCCCAGTTGCGACAATGCGAAAATCGAGTGTGGGAAGTGGGTTGGACGCGATGAACATACATGCTGCATGGGTCACCAGAGAAAAGAGGTATGGGTATGTGACGCTGTATCAGGGTCGTGGGGACCCTATCACAACCGCAAGCCACACTTCTGTAAGGAGGTAAATCCGAAGGAGTCACAAGAGTGTAAAAGAAAGGACTCTGACGGTAATTGTAACGGACGGCGTCCAAGAATGTGAAGGGTCAGGGAACGATTGAGGTAACAGTAAGGGTAGATCTGCGACAGTAAGTACAGATTCTATCAGCTGATGGGGTACTCTTCATCTGATACGAATATTTCATTGATAACGACGTTAGGCTATGATCAAGTTGATGACTCTTCAACCTTCTTGCATGTCTCTGCGATGAACTTTATATCCTTGAATACTGGAGTAAATCGTTCGAGATGACCCTTGAACACACACGACGCGCCGACATCAGGCTCTTGAACGTCCTTCGACAGTTCTACAGTGACATCCTTCTCCCAGCCATCCGCATAACGAGCCTTCTCCCTCTTGACGCTCACTTTGATACTCCTACCATCCACCTTCTTAACCTTGCCAGCAATTCGAAAGCAGCACCCGCTGCTCGGTTCGACAGTCTCCGGATCCTTGAGAACGTCGAGACTCTTAGGCCAGCCCGTGGGAGGGGAAGACCCGGTACCGAGACTTCCACTGAAGCGATAGTGCCCGTATACCAGAGGCTTCAGATTCTCTGCCCACACCGTGTCCTGACCGGTAATTGCAACGTTAACTTCAGTGCTCAGAGGAGATTCCCACGGCCAACCACATGGCAGTATCTTGAAAGGATCGAAGTCCGAGCCACCCATTCCGAAGTCTGTAAAACTCCGCTCGACGCGTATGACCGTAGCAGTGAACGCTATGTGTATCGGACTTAGTCTCTTGGTGAAATGAGAATCGTCCAGCGCCTCTGCGAAGTCTTCGAGTTTGACAGTAGGTGCGCTTTGATGAGACGCGCTGACAACGGCACCATCGGTCGCTTCCCAGAACCTGCAGCTACTGCTCCTTTCGTTCATCTTCATCATGCCTTGATTCGGAACCATGGCCTCGTATTCGTATATACTGGGACCACCTGGCTGGTCGTTGTCCAGAAGTCGTTCTAAGCTTGAGTTTCGTTCCAACCAGGATTTCGGTAGGTCGCGCAGACCAGCTCTCAGGGCAGGATTCTTCTTAAGTATATCGTTCCGACCTATCATCCCCTTGAAGACGATGAAGTCTTCGATATAATCATAGTCTTCATCGTATGCTTCTTGTATTGTCTTGCCTTTGAATTTACCGAAGGTGAAACGGTAGGGACCGCGGCTCTTGGGTGCTGCGCGCGTCTGGGTACGTCGCTTCTTGGAGGACTCGGCATTGGAGGATGCGGCTGGTTGTCGCTGTCGCTTGACGCCGGAGCTCATCGTGGGTATCAGAAGAAGTCGTTCGCTTGAATACGAGATCGCAGAAAGGCAAGAGGAGAATTTTGCAGAATTAAGTTCGGACCTGGAGAAGAAATAGTCAAGCGCTACAGGCGAGGAGATCTCGATCGCATATCACGGTATGCATAGGAAATTGTGCCGCAACTTAAGTAAGGGTACGCGGCTCGAAGCTACGCGCAACGCGTTGACGATGTAGAGCACCTGCACGACGCGTTGCTAAACCACCAACAGTGATACACCCTGGAGAAAGCAAATGGGAGATGAAGTCGACAAGGAGCTTTTGGTCAATACTTGAAGACACTACCGCGGCACGATGTGAGGGTCGAGCCGACTAGTCGTCCTCGCATGTGCACGGCGGTGACAGCCGTTTGAAAGTGGGGGCTGACGTGGCCCGAGCGTGTGCTGCAAGGATCCCTGAACGTGTCACGGTGATTACCATTCTACCTGCGTCACCTACCTTCCACTCGGAAACTGCGTGTCGTCCCTCAATGTGTGACACTCTGAATGGAAGACCCGCGCTGAAATCGACGACGCTTCGTGCTGTCGTTGTAGCTATCGCCTTGCGGGACCTCATTCCATCCGCAGGACCATCCAATCTATTCCTTTCTTTCGAGAGGGGACGGACGAGGAAGTGACGAACTCTGGTGCAACGTAGGGTTGCATAAGTGCTCCTTCCCGGGTCCAATTCCGCGGGGCGAGGTCTGGGATGACATAGGTGGAGCAGTCGAAGTCTCGGTAGTGTCTACCCCCTTGTGTTCTCGTCCGTATAACCTACTGCAGCCCGCACTTGCAACTACCCAGAGTTATCTCATAACATTCTTTTTACATATCAATTTATAGTCAACACTCAACAACCCCAAGCTATGAATAACTCCGACGATGACGCACCAATAGTTCAATGGAGACCTCGACATAAGAACCAGGCATCTGTCTTATCGCCCGCCAAAGATTCTGGTATCAGGAAGTCATCCGGGAAGCAATCGTTATCGCAGTCTTCTCTGGAACATGCAGTTCAAGCCTGTGAAGCAGACACATCAGACGAAGTGTACGAGTTCGACTTCGGAAAGCATTGCGGCCAGACCATCAAACAAGTCGCAGACACCAGCCCCAGCTATTTGCTCTGGTGTCTGAACAACGAGGACATGATGGAAACGAGGATCGACCTAGCCGATGGCTTTAAAGCTTTATCGAACGACTTCCTCAACTCGCAGTCTAGTTCCCTGCGCGAAGCCATGCGGAAGAGGGGAATTCATCCCCATGACATGGCGGACGCTCTCATGGTAGAGGGACAAGATGATCACGG